TTTTTGGTCTTTTGTTTTAAAGTGTCTGAATGTAACTGTCAGGCAGTCTGTGCTGACTTGAGCTACGTAATCAGAAAGCTGAATTGTTCAAGGTTGAATCTGACTGGATGCGGTCAGGAGACACAGAATAAAACAACCCTTCTGGACTCTTTGTTGAAAGCAGGGTTTTTAATGACCAGGAAACTAAACAGCCTGGTCCCAACCCAAGCTACCAGCCAATGTGATGTTTGTTCGACAATCAGGCTGTATATCAGTGGTTGAGTTGCATGAGAGGCACTAGCGGTCCTGACAATAAACACGTTACTTGATTGTCTTCATTCTATAAATGATGTCTGCTGTTCTGTGACTAGTCTTATTCTGCACATAGCCATATTCATGCACACAGCAGAAAGTTGAGAAATACTCACGAATGATAGAAAGGTCTGACGCCCGTGGGGTCCTTCAATGGTGCCAGCATTCTCTCCTTGGCTTATCCTGGCTGCTTCTGCCATCTTGATTGGCTGGCACGGGATTGTCACTCCCACCAATGTGCAGGTATCTTTCATCCTGGCACATTGGCACTTTGCCAGAAATGGAAACGGAGCTGCACATGTTTAGCTCCATGTACATTCAGCAGAGGATTGCAAAAAGGCAGCGGAGTTTATTTTATTGCAGAAGAGACATTGTATGTCTCTTCTGCAAGAAAGAGCCTGTCTTAATTCCCAAAACAATTACATTCAGGGAATGCTGTAAATGATAACTGTTACAGTTGGTTGTGTTTTCAACCGTGCTGTCAAGCTATCAAATTGCTAGTGTCATTACTGATCACATGGGCAGCATTATGGCAATTGCAGATCAAACAAAAGCGAAGATGGCAGCATCTCTTGACTGTAAAGGATAGGGGACTTTTTAGTGGTATTAAACCCAAAAACAAAAATGTATTATAATGCAGTTTACCAATCCTTTAGGCTTAATTCACACCATATGCACAGAAATACTGATGGAAAAAATGCACATATTTCACTTGCAGAGACTTCAGTTTACATCCGTTTTTCATGTGCGGTTCAGTGAGTTTTATTCACACTGCAGAATCCTGCACATTATACCAGTGTTGTGGTGTGAACAGGACACATAGAGAACAATTATTTTCTTTGTGCAGAATGTGTGCAGAAAAACTTACATCTCTGCACACTGGTGTGAATGTTATGCCTGCTTTTTTGCTTTGTTTTTTTTTTCTCTTTTTTTTGTGTGTCTTTTATTTATTTATTTTTAACTTTCACGTAGTGATCCGACCAGTAAGTCTGTTATTTGTCAACTTCCTTTAACAGACGAAGCTGTCCAGCAATAGTGGCAGTTGGGGCGGTGAGGAAAAGTGCTTACAATGGCTGGCTGTTATTCATTTATGTAATTTTTTTTTTCCCAAAAAGGAAAGACAGCTGTTACTGTAACTGCTTGAAAAGTGTTTGGCTTTGATTTCTTAGACAAGTCCATCTAAATCTGCTAATGCTTCTAATACTACCCTCTCCATAGACTGACATTGCTGCTGTCCAGAGGTCTCTCCTTTGCTCCTCCAGCAGAGTGGAGACACCTTAAGGCAGAAAGTTTGTTACTGGCCGGATCACCAGGTGAAATAAAGAAAAGGAACACTAATGCAGCCGCCAAATCTAAGGATGGGTAAGCTGCAATAGATAACATTTTTTTGTTTTGGGGTTTAATACCACTTTAAGGCCCAGTAGGGTAAACCGTTTAATGAGTAAACTCTTGTGTTCCCTCTAGTTTTTGTCTAATATAGAAGTCTGCTCTCCACATAAATGTCCTAGTATATATGAAAAAAAAATATTTCTACTCCGTGTTATGTAAAATATCCAGGCCATCCTTTTTCTTTTAGGATGGGAAATATTAGGGAAACCATCCTTGTGTCCTTGTCTGTCACAGCTGTCATCACTAGCCTCTTTACTCTGCCTTTCCCTGTTAGCACTCAGCACTATGGCTGTCTGGCTTCAGTTTCAGATTGTAGATATCCTGCTCACATTACAGCACATGCTATAGTCTCATTTACATGCTGTATTAAGATATAAATACATGTGCAAGTAGTTGGCCTTGTTTGAGAATTAATTTTACAATAACTAATAAACCTGACATCCTCCTAGACTTTACCTGCTTTGTTAATCTATCCATGCATTTTCCTTATTATTCCTTGGAGCCAATTGTGCCTTCAGGGCATTTGAATCATATTAGAGATGCATATTACGATTGTAGTGCTATTTTTTTATGAACCAGATACAGCAGTCTTAGGCTAGTTGGCTATCATCACTGCAGTGTATGGAAACCATGGCTTATGGACTGACACAACAGTCTTTAACCACCTTCCGCCCGCCCTATAGTACAATGACGGGCGCAAGGTGGTTCTCTCTCGTTCTGATAGGACATCATATGACGTCCTACCATTCTCACTGCGCATGCGCGGCTCAAGGAGCGCGCATGCGCGGCTCAAGGAGCGCGCAGCGCGGCGATCGCTGGTGCGCTGTGTCCCTCGGACACAGTGGATCATGGAAAGAGCTGAAGATGTCGGCTCGGTCATGTGATCAGCTGTGTCCAATCACAGCTGATCACACGGAAATTCTGGTTATCGGCATTTCTCTCCTCTCGAGCTGTCACGCTGACAGCTCGAGAGGAGAGCCTTTAATCGGCTTTCCGCAGAGGGGACATGTACACTGATCATCAGGGCACTGATGATCAGTGTGGCCCCATCAGTGCCATGTGCCACATCAATGCCACATATCAGTGCATACCAGTGCACATCAATGCCACATATCAGTGCCCATCTGAGCTGCCTTTCAATGTCACCCATCAGTGCCAGTCAGTGCCACCTATCAATGCCAATCAATGCCACCTATCAGTGCTGCCAATCAGTGTCGCCTATCGGTGCGCATCAGTGCCGCCTATCAGTGTCATGTATCAGTGCTGCCTTTCAGTGCCCATCAGTGATGCCTGTCAATGCCCATCAGTGCAACCTACCAGTGCCTCCTCATCAGTGTCCATCAATTCCACCTATCAGTGTCCATCAGTGCAGCCTATCAGTGCAGCCTCATTAGCGCACATCAATGAAGGAGAAAAATCACTTATTTACAAAATTGTATAACAAAAACTACGAAAAAACGTTTTTTTTTTTTTTCAAAATTTTCTGTGGTTTTTGGTTTGTTTAAGAAAAAATAAAAATCCCAGAGGTGATTAAATACCACCAAAATAAAGCTCTATCTGTCTCAAAAAAAATGCTAAAAATTTCATATGGGTACAGTGTTGCATGACGGTGCAATTGTCATTCAAAGTGTGACAGCGCTGAAAGCTGGAAATTGGCCTGGGCAGGAAGGGGGTATAAGTGCCCTGTAGGCAAGTGGTTAAACTCACCTCACCATAAACTGTCTGGTTATTCTATCAAATCTGTGCGAGCCATTTTTGTGATCCAGACATCCCTACAAGAAAAACAAAGAATCAAAAATGGTGCATGTCCAGTTAAGGACATGCAGAGGAATATTCAAAAGTATCCACCGTATCACCCAATTTATGGGTGTGGACCAAGGACCGAAGCAGAAATAAAATAGGAATATAGTTCCTAATAAATTAGTACATCAGTTAGTCCACAGGTGTCAAACACAAGGCTCGAGGGCTGAATCCGGCCCTTCAAGCCATTTCATGTGTCCCTTGCACCTCTCCTGCAGGTACCCCCTGGACTCCGCCCCCTCCTTGTCTCAGCAGTCGGCAGCAGAGAGGAGAATAGCACTCCTCTGCCAAATCCTGCACCTCTCAGTGCAGCTACAGTACCCCCTCATCTCTGACTTCCCTCGTCTCAGCATTCAGCAGACTCTTGTAACTGACTCCACTCCTCCTCTGGTCCTCCTCCAGACCCTGCACTTTCTGCTTTCCAGCTGTGCCCCCAAAGGGGGTGCACGGTGATGTTAGGGAGGGTGTGGGTTTCTTGATATCTGATGTAATGTGGGGTGGGGTGCTTTGGACATCTAGTCTTACAGATACAACCGGCCCTTTGAGGGCGACCATAATGCTGATACAGCCTGCGATGAAATAGAGTTTGACACCCCTGAGCTAGTCCAAATGATATGAATATAAAATTGTTCTTTATTAAATACAATAAAAAATATAACCTGTTGAAACTCGGGCATGTGCCTTACCATATTAGACATCAAATGTTAATTTACCTCCACCCAATTTCAATAAAAGACAAATACAAAATTATCAAATTATAAATACCAGAGAGGACATTCACATTGCACTCCAATGGTCTAGGTCCCCCTACAAGAAAGCACAGCCAAAACCAAGGCCTTTTTTTTTTTTTTTTTTTTTTTTTTTTTTTTTTTTTTTCTGCTTTCTGCTCCTGTCAGCATGTGTAGTGTAAGCAGCAGAGCCTGATTGACTGCTTGTGATCACCTTCCCTGTTCCTGTCTTAGTGCTACTGGTTTCAAGAAGCTGATACCAAGATAAATTCAGGTACTTCAACAAGTTGCATTTAAAAAATATTTAAGTCATTTTAGTAAATAGATAACTGCACTTATTTTTAATAATATCTGCCTGAACTTCAGATTTAAGTACTGTTCCCTTGAATTGGTTACTCCAGTGATGGAGCCCAATGTAATACATGACTAATGGATGTGAGACTACCCGTCATACTTGTTTCCTTCGAGATCAGCTCCACTCACATGGGGATTTTTAAACTGGTTACATAAAGTCTAGGTGCAATCACCTGTGTCTGCAACCACCAGAGGTGCTTCTTGTTCCCCTGTAGGCATGTCAGAAAATGCCCAAACTTCCTAGTCAAGACAAGAGCCTTACTTGAGAGTTTTAGAATGTTTGTTTGTTTTTGTTTATAGACACCCTAAAGTTTTAATGGAAGACATAAGTATTCATCACTGGACTGCCACGGTTTTCCATTTGTCTGGGTACTGGTGCTTTAATGCTGGGATGAGATTTATGCTGGTGTATTTCTTGATGAGTGTTTTCTTTTGCAGGAGTGGTCTGGAACAAGAAGACATGAGAATTTGTACAAGTACCTCACTACATCGCTCTTCCCCAGATACATCGAGCCAGAAGTAAGAATAAATATGGACGTAGCAGACTTTAAAGTAAATCTGTCTTGAGATAGATGCGGGGGTGGACATTGCGGACTCCCTCCTGAAAATGCTTCTTCCCTAGCTGTTATGCTGACTTTTAAAGCTAAGTTCACCTAAGTAATAACTAATAAATGGACTTTTTTTTTTTTTTTTTTTTTTTTTTTTTGCAGGTAAAAAAAATGTGCATTTATTTATTTTTAATTGTATTTTTTACACAGGAGCCTGCATACTATTGCATCCTCAATCAGTTGATCATGGGTGTAGTCCATCTCCTGTACACTTTCCCTCCAGCTTTCTGCCCATACCGTCATGTTGGCTTTCGGCTAGAAATATGAAGAATGATTTAATGGGCTACGAGTGTATTGATCAGTACTCTTAGTCCAGTGAACACAACAACCTGCCTGCTGTGGTGGAAAACAGGGCTTGTAGTTCATTCATTCACAGATCACTGTGAATAAATGACGCCTCTTTGGGGGCGGAGTAACACCCATCCGCACTGATATTAAATGTGACAGCGGCTGCAGGAGAGAGCTTCCCGTGTCACAAAGGGGGCTTCTAGCGGAGATTGGTGTTCGGCCCTTAGCAATATGTTGCCTGTTACACCCTAAATACGGGTGTATCAGATTGCTAAAGGTGAACCTATCCTTTAATATACTCTCATGTCAATTCCTGCTTCCTCACTGTTTCTTGTTTAAAAACATTTCTTTCTGCCCATAATGTAACTGGTGATGCTAATCACCCAACAGAGTCCAAATCTTTTGGGGGCTAGGCGAATGTATACTATTTCTTCAGATGAGCCATTGGGCCTTTTTCTGTTTAAATGTAGCACTGCAAGTGATGTTGTACATGCTTTATTCAATTCTGTCTTTTTATGAACTTGGTCAGATGGATTTGCTGTATTACTGCATTTTTCGCAACATGTGTTTTGCTTTGAATGATAATTCTTTCTCTTTTTAGCTAGCTGGAAGAGATTCTCCCATACGTCCTGAGATGCCCGGCAATCTACAGCACTATGGGAGGTAAAACACTTTGTATACCATAATCTAGATGCATAATCTGGATCTGGTGTCCATATAATTTAAAGATGAAACCGCTAAATACACAGATGAAATACAATTATGAGAGATGTTTTACCTGCCAAAGTATTTGAATTTCTGCTCATTCAGCTATGAGATTTACACAGCTCAGCTACAAAACACATCACTGTCTGGCAGGCAGAAAACCTAAAATTTCTCTGCTGAAGCTTTGGCACATTTATGAGCCTTGTCCCTCTCTCAGCCTGTGATTGGACAATAAATTGAGAAATAGTACGTTGATGAGCTTATGTCATCATTTAGATCCCTCCTGGTTATCAGCGTGTTCCTTGTTATCACATAAAGCAGGCTATGCATCATGCAGGTTTCTTTTCTTCCACCACAAGTGGAAGGTATGGAAATTGCTCAATTTCCCCATCAACACAGTCAATGTTGATGGGGGAATCCTTACCCGCTGCGCTATTGAGGTATTCCAGTGGGGAGCTTTCCCTGCCGGCAGAATACAATGATATGTGTTGCCAACTATAGCTGGCAGCACTAATCGGTCAGGAAAAACCTGACCAGCTGGTTGTATACAAATCACTCAATTGATTGAGCTAAAGGCTGTAGCTTACTAATGGAAATATAGGTGATTACCAAGGGCATAGAGACATAGAAAAAGTACAGAGAAGGGCATCCAAACTGATAAGAGGCATGGAGGAGCTCAGCTATGAGGAATGATTAGAGGAACTGAATTCTCTTTTGAGAAGAGGAGATTAAAGAAGGGGGGGGGGATATAATCAACAAGTATAAATACATCAGTGGTTCATATAGTGAGCTCGGTGTAGAGCTATTCACCCTGAGGTCATCACAGAGGACAAGAGGACACTCTTTACATCTGGAAGAAAAGAAATGTAATCTCCAAACAAGGAAAAGTTTGTTCACAGTGAGAGCTGTGAAAATGTGGAATAGACTCCTTCAAGAGTTGGTTCTGGCCAGCTCAGTGGATTGCTTTAAAAGGGACCTAGATTCTTTCTTGGATACACAGAATATAACTGGTTACTAACATTTTTATAGGTAAAGTTGATCCAGGGAATATCCGATTGCCTCTCGGGGAAAGAGGAAGTTTTTTGTTTTGGTTTTTTTTTCCCTGCAGGAGCAAATTGGATCATGCTTTGCTGGGGGGGTTTTTTTGCCTTCCTCTGAATCAACTGTGGGGTATAGGATTATAACTTTTTTTTTTTTTTTTTTTTTTTTTTAATGGCTGAACTGGATGGACTTTTGTCTTTGTCAGCCAGACTAACTATGTAATTTGTTATAGGCAGAACCAGAACTCACTATGCTTACCAGTGTTTACATTGTTACCAGATAACGTGCTTACTTGTTTGTGAATATTGGGCGAAGCTATCAAAATTGCACCCAGCAACTTGTGCACGTCTTAGTATGTTAGTCTGCACATCAGACTGTATTTCAGGCCAAGTCTGGTACGTGAAAATGGTCTATCAGGGTAATTCTAGGGCACATTTATGCCTGTGCATTTTAATATGTTTTAGAGCTTGTCTTAAATGCAACTTGTTTTCAGGTGCATTCTGCTTGGATTTGGGATCAGTTTGAATCACTTCTTTTACAGGTGTGTTTGACCTGCAGTTGGCCTTCTTCTGACCTGTTCTGACTCGTCTAAGCTACATCAGCCTGACCCAAGTGGCATGATATTATACGAAAGTTGTTGATGGAGAATTAGGAAGATGTTGAGGAAACCTATATTTTCCTCCATTATTTCCTCCTAAAGAAAAGCTCACTCAACTCAAACTTTTTTTTTTGTCCAACATACTACAGCCCTATACAGTTGTATAATTTAAAAATTAGACATCTACTCTGTTTTCATCTCTGTAGCCATGAAGCACATTTTCTTCATGCTGTATGGTCCTGCCTCAAAATACTGTTGTTCTAGACGCAGGTGTGGGGATTTATTGAAACTGCCTTAGGCTTGCCTAATTTAAGATGTCCTAAAGAATGCCTCCTAAGGTTAGTGGAGGATCTTTCCATTAAATCTCATGCCAAAAATTAAAGTTAATCCCCTGGAAATAATCTCTTCGTCCAACTTTTATCTGAATGGAAACCTTTAATTATGTTCTCCCCCTTTTCCTGTTAGGGAATCCCTAATGAGCGTTTACAAGAAGTAGGGTTCTTGTCCATTTCCCTCTTACAGCCTAAACCTAAAATGGTTCTCTGAAGACCAAATTTCTCTTTGTGAATATATTGAATATATGTAACTGTTTTTTTATTTTATGCTCATGTATTTGAAGTGACATGAAACTATACTGTTTTTGCAATGTAGTGTAGGGATTGTTTTTTTTTTCGTGAGAAGAAATTATGTTTAGTGTTTGTTTGCAATTGCATTGTATTACATGTTTAAAAAAAGCAATAGATGGCATCTTTCCAAAAAAAAAAAAGCTGCATCACACACCTCCAAGCTGCCTTTGTATTCCCGTTGACTTGCATGGGAAAAGAAGCCGCTCTGATACGAACAAATTCCTGTGCACACAGGCTCTTGCACTGTTTTGAAAAGTGCATTTAACTTTCTGCCTATGTTCAAAAACTAAGCCAGTTGAAGTTCAATGTGGGTTCTGAAGCATCCTCAGCAATGGGAATACAGCTGTTTGAGTGCAATGCAATGCATCTTTTTTTAGGGTGTGGTGACAGGTGTCCTATTTTCTCATATATTATTTTAAGGCTTTGGATTCAATACGATTGGAAGTTTGTATAAAAATATTTGTTCATTTTTACAATTTACATATTTTATGTTTAGGTTCCTTACTGGACCTCTGAACCTTAATGACCCAGAAGCCAAGTTTAGATTCCCCAAAATCTTTGTAAATACAGAGGATACATACGAGGAACTTCATTTGATTGTTTACAAGGTGATGTATTATGATTGATGCTATGGCTTGACTGGGTAATTGAAGCAATAATCAAAATATGTAAGAAAACTGTAAATGTACATTCTTTTTTACTGGTAGGCTTACAGTTTATGGACTTTTGGAACCCATTTAAATTTTAAACTTAAATTGGCTAAATATATTCCAGGTCTTACAATCTGTAGGCTACAAGAAACTTAGTATTTCTTCTTAGCCGCAAGGTGTTTTTCATTGTTGCCATCACCTCTGCAAGGCAATTTTCGGACCTGGTGGCCTTCTCTTGCAAAGAACTCTGTTTGGTCTTGCATAGGATCTAGGTGGTGTTGAGGCCTTCCTTAGGTAGGGTTATGCCCAGTGGTGTATTTAGGTTTTGTGCTGCCCTAGGCAACACAAAAATTGGCGCCCCCCCAGATAAAGAGCCTGACATTGACCAAGACCACCCCTGCCCTCCACCTGAGCCTGCCCCCCATACACCAGTCACCTCACCATCCCCCATGGCAAGAGAGAGAGAGAGAGAGACACTCACCTTCACAGCTCCGGACATCCCCAGGAACGGGAGTTGGGCTGTGCATACACCGTCATGAAACCCGCAGCCTCTCTCGGAACCCACCAAGGTCCCCATGCCACGTGTGTCCCTTCTTCCGTCCCTTCTTCAGGGTGGTGCTGCCCCCCTGAAAAATGCCGCCCTAGGCAAATGCCTTGTTTGCCTTGTGGTAAATACACCCCTGGTTATGTCTTTCACCTCATCCAGGACATTGTTCTAGTCTGGCTCTGACTCATCAAATGGAAATTTACTTCCATTGTGGTAAGGGTTTTGTGAGTCTATCTCTCAGTCACTGCTTCTTTCAGAAAAACAGATTACCTTTTTGGCATTCCAGGCGAGCCCTGGAAGAGCGCACCGGCTTCTCATACTACCTTTTCTAGGTGGCCTGGACAGATAATCATTCAAGCTTATAGTCTCAAGGATCAGGTTCCCTCTTTCCTGTTGAGGCCCTCTTCTAGATCTGTGAGTGCCCCATGGGCCTTTCAGCTTCAGGCATCTTTCCCAGATTTGTAAAGCTTTCACCCGGTTTTCTTTTCACACTTTCTCTAAGTTCTACCAGATGAACGTTTATGCTTCATTTGATGCCAGCTTTTTGGGCATCGGGTTCTTCAGTGGGCTCTGAGCTGCAAGAAGGCCCCTGTTTGCATTGATATCCTGTACAATAATTTACATTCCCTCTGTAGGTGGTTTTATAACAGAAGGTTTAAGACTTCCTGTGTCCCTCAATGGACTCCCAAGAAAAAGATTTAAAAATTCCTATTATATTTTTTGCTATCATAAATGGGGGAAAAAATGGCTGTAGTTGGACTTTAATAGTGGAGCAATATATACAGTTTAACACCTTGGGTTTCAGTCTTTGTCATGTAGTGGGATTGCACACGTTTCATCTGCTTTTTTGGCTCCTGCACCTAAGCCAGGAAGTGCCCACGCACAGGCCCACAGCCCTATCCATACTAACGTGACCAGTAATCCCCCACTCGGTTTCATTCTGCTGAATAGCAGTCATCTTGAATGTATTCAGATCAAAAAGAAAATTAAAACACAGTGTCCCAAACCCCTGTACCCACTTGGTTTAAGAGATAATGAAGCTAGTTTGACAGCTGCAATGGATTATCCAATAAGCTCAGCTGGCAGCTATAAGATGCTGGTGGCTTAATTTGAAGCTTCTTTTGGCTGTAAGCTTAAATGAAGCATCATATTTAAACCTGGCGGCAGTTGACATCTGCAAAAGAGTTGCCAGTTCTACTAATTGGGTTGGAGGGCTCATATAGAAATAATTTTACTGACAATTTGCCTTTAGAGCCCAGTCACACGCTCACACTGTGTTGGACCATGCATGTTAACATTTTGTGTTAAGGCAGCCCATTAATTTTACTGGGCTACCTGATGCACCAAAATGCAACAACAAAGTGCATGCAGCATTTTCAGCAGTGCACTGCAACGCACATACCTGCTTTGTGCTGCATTGTAAGTTTGTAAGAAGGATCAGTGGTTGTGCCATTCAGAATGTGTGTTCCTTTGTGTTTAAGTAACACTCATAACTGCAGCGTGAAGGTGTGAGTTGGCTCTTAAAGGAGAAGTATGTGCACTCAGTTCTGCACTCCTGTGACCCAAATTCAGTCCAGGTTCTGCAGGGATCACGATAATAATGTCAGGCTCTTACCACATGCCTGAACAGCAGCTGGCTCAGCCTCTCAGTGTGGTGCTGGGAGACTGAGCCAGCCGATACCACCCCCACCCCCAGTCCGGCACTCCAGTGAACACTGGAGGGGCAGAGCACAGATTGGTGACTGACAGTCCCTGCTCTGTGCTTATAGCGATCAGTGGTCTTTAATCGCTCAGTTCTCATTGTAGAGGTGGGGGGGGGACAGATGCAGCAATGAATCAATACTGCATCTGCCTAGGTGAGTGAATGTTTTTTATTTTTTATTCTAAATCCCACACTTCTCTTTTAAGGCGTTAACTGTCATCTTGCACAGTGATGACCTATAAAGAAAGCAGTGGAAGCAATAAAAAGCCTACCCACTCAATAGAAATTGATAACCTCACACCTTCATGAACGCTAACTTAGTTCATAACTCATGTAAGTGGATTTTCTGTACTGTTTCACTCCACCTGTCAAGAGAGAAATGTAGGGGCCGACACTGTTAATTTCTATATCTTATATCTTCTCTTGGAAAAAGAGAGAGAGTACCGATTGGTGGACTTTATAGGCACTACAACAATGATAAATAAAATTGTTGCTTTATTGAACATACATGGACGTACAACTGTTAAATTGTTTATTATTAACGTATTATTTTGAACACAACTGTACATATGGTATTAATAAATCCCACAATAAAAGTATACCGTAACCCGGTAAAAGGTTTGAAAACAGATATTCTGATATCAATGGCTGTAGTAACTCGTCATGATTCGTGATAATATCGCTTCTTCAGGAGTTAGATTTCTACATAAAGAAAATAGTGTAGATTTGTAAACAGCATTTTGTATTCTCCAATATTCATCATACAGATCAATTGAATACATTGTCATACCTTAGTCTACAGGCATCAGTGTAGACACTGAGGAAGAGGACCTCAGGCCTTCCCAAGCAGGGCCAATCACTGGGGGGATCCCAATAAACCAAGAAGGCAAGCGGCATCCCCTCAAAGGCTTCCTAACGTATAGAAAATATATATGAAACTGTTAAGAAACATGATGAGGGCCTCCTAGATGGTAAATGGGGGTATGGGGATATAGAAATTAGACTAATCTCCCCACTAGTAGGGGTGCACTAAAGTCACCAATCCCAGTCCGAGTGTGGCGCATATGAAAGAACCAACAATAAACTAGTATGGTATAGAAGTACAATCTCGTCACCAATTCTGGTCCAAATAAAGTACGTACAAAAACCACTAGCAATCAGCTAGTATGATGTATGAGGAGATCCCTAAAGGAGGAAACTCAGTAGGGAGAGTTCACCTGGAATTTTACAACCTGCTGGATAATTGTTGCTTTCACACCATTCTTGATGGCCTCTGTTGAAAAACCTCTATTCTTTGTGGGCCAAACTGTCAAATGCAACAATAGTTAACCATAGCAACCAGATTCTTCATTCTCCGTTTTAATGCACTGGAGTAATAACTTCAAACTATGATGGGTTGCTGTACAGGATTATTTTCTGTCTTGCAGAAGTGATACTGTGAAATCACTCACATGATTGTGCCTCTGCCATGTCCAATAGAAATATTATTAGTTGCTGTTTAAGCTATATTGTCATTTGGGATTAGTGGCCCTTTAATCTTCCTGCTCAGCACAGTACAGTAACCTTGGTGGGAGCAGTTGAGAAGGCTTCATATTGGACGTGTCTGGAATCAAGCCTTCTGTATGTCACAGTGCAGATTATGTGACATTACTGTCTAGACAATGAGCGTGAATGAGCTGCCATTGAAGCTGACTCCTGGGGCGCTCCTAAGCTTTTGTTTCCCCTTATGTTAAAATTAGAAAGTACAACATGGATTCCCCTGTCAGCATTGTGTGTAATGAAGATTTAATTGTTGTGGTGCATCTAGCCAGGAGAACAGATGGCTTGGTGGAGCAGTAACATTTCTGTAAATCCTAAATAAGATCTTATTTTTCATTGCAGGCCATGAGTGCCTCGGTGTGTTTTATGGTTGATGGTGAGTATAAGCCTTGTAGAAAAATTATTGCTCCAATACACAAGGCATGATTTTTCATTAATTGACGTTTGTATAACTTTTCTTTTGAGTGATTATACCATATACAAGAAAAGCATTGGTTAGCTGTTAGTTTCATTAGCCACACTCTGAAACATGAGTTCACCTAATGATCTCTTTCCAATGTATTTAGCATGTTATTAAATGTTGCTGGTGGTGATCTTCATACACTGTTCTGACAATGAGGGGTCTATGTAGACAACATTTGTTTGACGATTGTCAAAAGCATTTGTCCAGGCTTTACAAATTTTTCCCATATTTTCTCTAATACCTTGATTTTCCTATGATCAATAGCTCCATCTTGTAGCAAAAATGCTAAATATTTTCAGTTTGAGGTCATTTAGATTGACCACTTCACAACTGCACTATAGCTGAATGACAGCTTCAGCGCGGTTGTCTAGTTCTGGAAGGGCGTCATATGACATCCTCCCAGCGGTGCACTTGGTGATGTCCATGATCCATGTGTCCTATGGACACAGCTGATCACATGATGAGGTAAAAGGCCAATCACAGTGGCCTTTTACCACGTGATTCGCTGTGTCCAATGACACAGCAGATCACCGAGTAATACAATTGTCAGTTATCGGCAGCACTTTGTGCATGTACTGCTGATAACCAGCAAATGTTACAGAGCAGATCGGAACTGGTTATCAATGGCCTGATGATCAGTGCCCAGCAGTGCCACCCATCAGTGTTGCCTTTCAGTGCCCATCATTGCTGCTTATCAGTGCCGCATCATCAGTGCCCACCAGTTCCACCTCATCAGTACAGCCTATCAGTGCTGCCTATCTGTGCCACCTCATCAGTGCTGCCTATCTGTGCTACCTCATCAACACACATCCGTGAAGGAGAAAAATTACCTGTCTGCAAAAATTTATAATAAAAAAACAAACTTCTTTTTTTTTTTTTTTTTTTGTTTACAAATAAAACACCCAGTGGCAATTAAATACCACCAAAAGAAAGCTCTATTTGTGTAAAAAAAAATTTATAAAAATGTCATTGGGTACAGCGTTTCATGAACGCGCAATCTTCATTCAAAGTGTGAGAGTGCTGAAAGCTGAAAATTGGCCTGGACAGGAAGGGGGTAAAAGTGCCCGGTAGGCAAGTGGTTAATATACTGCTTTTTGACCACTGGATGGAGCTGCGTTTTGCAGATTTCCACATTGCTCTGCACCGCAGGCGACAGGGCACATAGAAAAGCATTCTTTTTTGTGTCCCTTTGCAGAGAGCTGCATTTTTCGTATGCAGAAAAATGCAGCTCTCTGCTATAGTGTGAACAGGCCCTTAAACTTTGTGATGGTAAATCAGCTTTGACTTCGATCCTACTCTCTTTATGTAGTGTTGTGTGGTTTGTTTTTTGTTTTTTTAATAATCCAATTTTAACAACTCCCAGAATGTTTTGCTGGAAGTTATAGCGGACCCAGAAATGGAATTTTAAAGATTTGGACAGAATATAATCGGTTACATTTCCCAGTATGCTCTACACACAACATCAGCCTGCTGTCATGGTGCTGTTAAACGGTTTGACCCTCATCACCTTAGAATCAGTATAGAACTTGACAGCACTGTGTGTTTTTGCAACTCTGCCCTATAATAAGCTTGAAAATACCCCGCTGTGTTTCCCCTCTCTTCTTACTCCATGTCAGCATGAGCACTTGGCTCCTAGTTTCTGCTGAAAGAGCTATATTCTCCTCCCCCTGTTCCTCTTCAAATCCATGGTGTAAGGAGCTAGAAATGGAATGAGATCCAGTGGAGTGGACTTACAGTAGCTTACACTTCCACTTCAACCACAAAATAGACGTACTATTAATTCTATTTAGTCAGCTCATTTTCCAAACAAAAAAACGGCAGGTAAAGAAGTGGTTCACCAAACCTAATTCATTTATAGGTGATCACAGGTGGGCTAAGTCACCCAAATGCATTTTACAGCTGTCACTGGCTCCAACAAGATCTGTAGAATTAGCGATTGCCACAGAATGTCTCTGCTCACTCTGCATTCTGTGCAGCAGTTCAACAAGGACAGGGAGTCCCCAGCAGCTGAGCTGTCTTAGGAATTTCTGATGTAGATCTGTTACTGCTGCAGTTTCTGGAAGATCTAAGAAACTGGTTATTTATACTACTGGGATAAATTACAACCTATGTGTGATTAAGAGGATTGGGTGCCTCAGGAACCTTGAGAGATGCAGGTAGATGCCTTCCTCAGGTGAAAAGATGTAGTTCAGACTTAAAGTAGTAGTAAAGTATAAAAATGTTACTTTAGTCTACAGGTAAGACTATAAAAAGTCTTCCCGGTAGGCGTCTTTAAAAATGGCTTGAACTCACCATTTACTGTTGGCTACTGGCATAGTCGTAAGCCGCAGTGGCATCCCTAGGCAGGTGCGGGGGGTGTGCGCCGCACCGGGTGACACCTGTCGCACAGGATGACACCAGACCCGCTGCACGAAAAAGTAAGTTTTAAAGCAAGCCGAGGATCCTCATAGAATGGATCGGATCTGCGAATTGAGCATAATGGATCGGAGTCTGAATCATTATGCTCCCCAATCCGCAGAGACGATCTATCTTGCGGGGATCATCAGCTTGCTTTAAAACTTTTTCGTGGAGCTTGTGGAGAGATTGGTTAACCCCATATAGGTTGCAAGCCGACGATCCCTGCAGGATGGATCGGATCTGCAGATTGGGGAGCATAATGGATCGGACTCCAATCCATTATGCTCAATCTGCAGATCCGATCCATCCTGCGGGGAATGTCGGAGGGGTGACACCAAGTGTTACCGCACAGGGTGACACCAACCCTAGGGACGCTCCTGTTAAGCCAATTACATAGTTGGGGTATACGCATATACCCTCTGCATGCATGGAATACGGAGTGTGCTGTGGATACAGAGAGCGCTGTGCCACTATAGTTACTCCCGTGTGCAAGCACGGGAGTGATGTCATTGCAGCCTGGCCATTTAAATGGCCAGAGTGTGCCAAGATGGACATGCCTGCAGCAGTGACAGCTTGCCACTAGAGGGCTTCGTTTGTAAGGCAAGCCTGTCATTATGTGCCAGTGTGTGGTGCATACTAGCACAATACGGCATTTTTTTTTTTTACGTTTACTACCGCTTTTAAGCAGAACAAATCCATCAAATTAACTGTTTTCCAAAACTGTTATGTTCAAGGCATGCCGCAATACAGATACTGTTACAGTTACATGTGCTTTCAACTGAAATGTCAAGACAGCAAATTGCTGGTGACATAACTAGTCACATGTGCAACACCAATGGCAACTGAAGATCAGAAAGAGGCTAAAAAAGGCAGCCTCCTTGGTATAGTTCTGGCCATACATGGTTAGATTCTTATTTGAATGTTTGTAGAAAATTTTACTCAGACCTGCTACTTGGATGGAATTCAAGACGTAATAAATAGGTTTCATACAATATGTATGGTTTTTTTTTTGTTTTGTTTTTGTTTTTTGTTTTTTTACCTGAACAAAAAAAAAGTTAGAATTTGGAATTTCAAGAAAACATTTTTATCCCACTCCTTCAAATCTTTTCGGCACTATAGTAGAAAATGCACATCGATTTGACCCCACTAACAATTAGAAAGTTCAAGGAACATTCTAAAAACAAAAATATTTAACTAAAACTTTACTGACCATGAGAACTATGCTAGCTTGAGAACCCCTGATAGGGCCAAAGAGGTCAAGAACAGACTTAAAGGGATATTTCACCTTTTACCAAAAAGCTGCCTATGCAAATAAGGGGTGTCCATAGATAAAAACAAACTGTGCAGCTCTGACTAAAGTTGAATAATGCCCGTGTTATAGGTGTAGGCCATTTATATACCTCCTGAACCATTACTGGAAAACTCCCAGGGCGTTGCTAGGTGAGGCCTAGTCATTACTGCTCACCTCCACCATCACAGGAGTGAGCTGTCAGAGGCTGAGCTCAGAGCTACTGCATCAGGGGAGAGAGGGCATGGGAGGGGTTTTGATTCAGAGAAAAATCTCACTCCTGGGATGGTGGAGGTGAGCAGTAATGACTAGGCCTCACTTGGCAACATCCTAGCAATGTCCTGGGAGTATTCCAGTCAGGATTCATGAGGTACATAAATGGCCTACACCTATAGCAAGGGTATTATTCAACTTTAGTCAGAGACACGCAGTTTGTTACCCACAGACACCCCTTATCTGCATAAACAGGTTTCTGGTATAGGTGAACTAACACTTTAAAGTGGAACTTCACCCAAGAGGGAAAGTTCTACTCTTCCTCCCCCCTGCTATGCCACATTTGAAATGCATTTTGTTTGGAGGGAGGGGGAGATCGAGTACCTGGTTTTGACAGCAGCTACAAGGTGGTATCAAAAAGTTTCAGGACTTGCTCTGTTACAAGAAAGTACTTTATTTACATTTACAAACTATCACCTTCAAAATAGTCCCCTTGCACAGCTATACTGCGTTCCCAACTTTAGCTGCCACTTCTGGAATGTGTCCTGGAAGTCTTCTTTTCAAAGCGTGTCAAGCACCTTCTGTTATTCATGCTTGATCTCCGAAATGTAGTCAAAACAGGGACCTTTCAGCTGGATCTTCATTTTTGGGGAGAGGGCGAAGTCTGCAGGAGTCAATTCTGGCAAATAGGGTTGGTGTGGAAGTGAGATCATTGCAGCTGGGGGCCGAACTTGGCAGACACACATGTTCAAATCACACGTGAGGATTTCCCAGACTGTTCCATATGACACACTGGCAACGGCAGCCATGTTGTGGATTGTTCGCTGACAATCATGCACAAGTTGCCAAATGGTTTTGACGTTTTCGGGGGTTGAGCTTGTTGATTTCTCGTCTTCTTCCACTCTTGAAGCCCACATGCCGCTCAAAAGACCTCAAATGACTCCTGCATAAACTTGCCAAATCATGTCAAATGTCTCTGTGGCAGATCTGCCCAGTTTCACGCATAATTTCACGTTTGCTCCTAGTTCTAACTTGCTGTCCATGATGAAATGGCAGACATGGTAACACACGTGGTCAAAATAGCACCAGTTGCACAGTTCCCGATGTACACAGGATGATATCTTTTGGCAGTCACCAAAGATCCATTATCTCCTGCGCTCAAAGACTCAAATCAAACAGGCGTTTGTGACAAGCAGCGTGTTGTGTGTTTATCCGCTGGTGATCAGAGGTTGTGCAGCTCTAACATGAAGCTGAGGAAGCTTAATAAAACTGTAGAGGAAGGTGAAAGAGCGCACAAACCTTGCGCATTACCTCAATAAATAGTGACTAATTTTATTAATAAGGAAATATACTCACAAAGTGATGGTATAACAGGCATAAGTAACCATAATCCAAACAGGGTTGCAGGTAAATCGAAAAGGGGAGGGAAATGAAGGCTAATGCGTTTCGAAGGGTGCTCCCTTCTTAATCAGAGCTGATAAAAAAAAAAAAACAAATACAGATTCCCCTCAAACTATTTACATGAATCATGATGGTATAACAGGTGGCGATACTGTTAGATGAGCATAGCAATACACACATTACCATGAGTATTTTCATGTGTATTGCTATGCTGGATTATGCTCATCATGATTCATGTAAATAGTTTGAGGGGAATCTGTATTTGTATTTGCATTTGTTTTTTTTTTTATCAGCTCTGATGAAGAAGGGAGCACCCTTCGAAACGCGTTTGCCTTCATCCCCCCCCCCCCTTTTCGATTTACCTGCAACCCTGTTTGGATTATGGTTACTTATGCCTGTTATACCATCACTTTGTGAGTATATTTCCTTATTAATAAAATTAGTCACTATTTATTGAGGTAATGCGCAAGGTTTGTGCGCTCTTTCTTTCATCTTCCTCTACGATATCTTTTGGCACACTGACTTATGAAAGTCATTGCTCCCTGTGATTGTGCATGCAGCCTTGTGCTGCCATCTGTTGGCGTGTTACAAAACTAGTCTCAGCTTTTTGATACCACCTCGTATAGTTTTTGCAGCTGCCAATTTTTATTTTTTTGTAAACCCATATGGCAGTACTTGCGCTAACACCACAGGTGACCTGCGCAAAGAGGGTCTGAAAGTTCAATATAATTCCAGCCTTGAAAAGGTTAATCTTCAACTGCACCATGACCTTGCTTTTCTCACAACCAGCGAGCACTGGAAACTGTAAAAACATAAGAGAGAAGAGCGCACAGGCTCGTGTAATACCCTTTATCCTATAATAACAACTAGGTAAAATGCACTCACAAGCAAAAATGAATCCGAACTTCTCAGTCACATCTTTCCACTATGGCACTGTACACCAAAATCTTCTCACAGCTCTTGATTGGAGCTCCAGCTGACAGTGTGGCTAAGGCAGCAGACAGCGGCGACTGCATCCAGCCAGGACTACTGCCATATCTACACTGTCAGCTGGAGCTCCTATCAAGGGCTGTGAGGATTTTGGTGCACAGTACCGTGGTGGGGAGATGTGATTGATAAGCTCTGATTCAGTTTTGCTTGTGTGCGCTTTTTTATCTAGGTTTTATTATAAAATAAAGGGTATTGTACCAGAGCTTGTGTGCTCTTCTCTCTTGTTTATGTGAGTTTTAATTTTTGCAGAAGTGACTGAAGAACAGGTTTTAGGCTGTCCACATAAAGTACAAACTAGTTGTAGAATCTCCTTTTAACCACTTCAAGTTCAGACACTTTCACCCCCTTCCTGCCCGGCCAATTTTCAGATTTCAGTGCTATCACACTTTGAATGACAATTGCGCGGTCATGCAACACTGTACCCATATGAATTTTTTAGCATTTTTTTGAGACAGATAAAACTTTATTTTGGTGGTATTTATTCACCACTGGGATTTTTATTTTTTTGCTATATAAATGAAAATGTTCAAAAAGTTTGAAAAAATGTGTTTTTATTATAACATTTTGCAAATAAAAAATCTTTCTTCTTAACTCTTGGCCAAAATGTATTCAGTTATCTTTTTTGTTAAAAAAAAACAAATTGGTTTATTAACAAAAATTTGTATAATTTTTCAAAATTTCTTTTACATTTTTATTTTTTTTTTTTGTTTTTTTTTTTTTTTTTACATACGGTCACCCTAGCAGTACAGTGTCCCCATAGTGACACTCTACTACTTGTAGGGGGTGATGAAGATTTTTTTTTTTTTTTTTTTTTTTTTTTACACCCATAAAGGCTGTGAAAAGTAATAATTTCTCCTTCTCTCTGGCTGCATTCCTGCAGCCATTGAGAAATACTGTGCAAGCTGTGATTGGTCACAGCTTGTCACATGATACAAGACTGTTGTGAATAGCCTTGTACCATGTGACCTCTGTAATCATTCACAGATTTCTCAAGTAGTAAGCAATGATGTCAGGAAGTGACATCTTGTTTACTACTATTCATGTGATCACTGATTGGCCAATCAGTGATCACATAAATCGGGACCTCACACAGAGGTGCCGTACAGTGATCTGTGTTCCTCTGGGCACAGCAGGCACCGCTCGTGGTGCCGCTCGCTCCCAGGGAGTGCGCAAAGGCAATGGATGCGAAGGGGACGTTTAGAAACGTGCTCCCGCGTGAACATTTACATGGGCTGGACAGGAAGTGGTTAAAGCAGGCCACACAGTCTCATTGTGCGATCTTTTAGATCCACTGACAATGAATGTAAAATGAGGGCCAACATGCTTGGATGCCAATTGAATAGATTTTTAGGGAAGGGGCTTACGTTACATTGTTATTGGTAGATCTAAGGAAGATTGTACAGAGATGTAATATTTAGATTGCAAAGTGTGTGGCTAGCTTTAAATACATTTTATAAATTTAAATGGATTGTTTAGGTAGGTTCCCGCACTAAATAGTTTTTTTTTTTTTTTTTTTTTTTTTCTAAATCTTAAAAGTGATTTGCAATCTGTAGGAAACGTGTGGGCAGTTTAAGATTCATCTAGCACTTGTCCATATTTGTAGGCTCCAGGCTAACAGCTCTGACACATAACACAAACAAAAAGGGACATATTTATAAAGCCGTAAATGGGGATTTAACAAAGCATTTACTGCGGGCCAAAGAATTGCCATTCACTAGGAAGCACTAGGAAGATGCACCTGCAGGTAATATTTAAATGCCACTCTTACGGATTTTACGGAAACCGTGCATCCTTATATGCCATTGGGTGTAGTAAACAAGGATAATTGGCAATTTTTAATCCGCTGGACATCAATCAATAACTGAAATAACAGTTTTGGTTTGAAGGCCACATTTTTTTTTTATGATTAAGGGCCAGTTCACACTACATGCGTTTTCAGTTGCTTTTTTTCTGCATCCAAAACACACAAAGTAGGTTTTATGGTTGTCAATGTCCTTGTTCATATCAGTGCTTGCATTTGCAGTGCACTTCGGATGCAGAAAAAAAGTAGAACATGCTGCGTGTTTTTTTTTTTCTGCACAGAACTGTACTGGAACACGGTAAAATGCACCTGGAACACACATTCCGTATTTAAATTGAAGAAACATAGAGGGGAAAAAATTAATTGGAATGCATCAAAAACACACCGGAATGTGCCCAAAACGCGCATGCAAAAACGCATCCAGACTGCGTTTCTATAGTGTGAACTGGCCCTTAAGCTGCCAGGCTGTTTTGCACTGCTGTCAAAGGTTTTTTTATTTGGATAGGAATGTTGGAATTGCTGAATCTACCATAGTAATCCCAAACCAAATATCAGTTGTATGATGATCTTGTGTTTCAGACATAGGTTTGACCTAAATGGATGCAATTTGACTGTGCTTTAGTTGTACTGTATATACCTGGGGTGGTGATAATTAATCATCGAAATCAAATACACCTCCAATATGTGAATCCCCCACTAGAAAGTAACACTTTCTCCCTAGAACGTAGAATTAATAAAATAACCTCAGTGACTAATCTATTATCTAATCAAACATTCCCAAAAGTACTTATGAATAAAATATAAAAAAAACTATACACAAAATATAATATAAAATAAAAATAGTCCAATTCAAGTCCAAATCGAAAATCCACCCAAAGCAAACACAAGTAAATCCAGTAGGAAGGATTCCAATCCTATTTCAATCCCGTGATACCCTCCTGGTAATATTCATAAGCTTATCACGAAATCTCTGGTAAAGTATTACTTCCAAGTTTTCCTTCACTTCAGGAGCCCATCCTCCATATTCCTCATAAAGCAAAGGAGACTCCTATAATAGAATTCCAAGTATAGGGATAAATTTATTAAATGACTTACATTGGGGATAAAAAATATCAGCTCTGTGGCAAACTACACCAGCCTTGCAAACAATAGGGCATGGAAACCACCATTTCCAGTAGTTAAAATGGCCACGGCAGCACTTCTGGTTTTCGTGTGTGCGTCTTGACGTCGCGTTCCCTAACGCGTTTTGTCACTTCCAGACTTCGTCTGAAAGGATCTTGATAATTAATCATCATTATTATATATTATGAGCTCTGATGGAGGTAAAAACACATGTGCTTATTTTTTTTTTTTCTCCATTTTCATAGCTTCTGTGCAGCTAACACCAGATTTCTGTAGAAAACTGGATAGTCTTGTAGGACCTCAACTAACAGTGCTAGCCTCGGACATCTGTGAACAGTACAACATCAACAGAAGAATATCAGGGTATGTAACAATGGGCTTTGATTGTTCTCTTACTGTATACGTGTAATGTAATGATGGCATTAAGTGGTGCCTTGCACAAACATTTACACATTTTGTTTAGCTCCCTTAGTGACAAGAATTCAGTGGTGCAATATTGTGCGATTGTAGACACTTGTTAATGCTCAACATAGTGCTGATGATGTAGCACACAAGAATATGGGACAGCAGCAGTGCTGAAGAAAGCATATAAGGCCCCTTTCACACAAGCGGACCGATGGAGACCACTTGTTCATTCTTTAGACGGACCTGATTGGTCCCTCTATAGACTTCTATGGATTGGCAGGTGTCAGCAGACAATAGTCCACTGACACCTGCCGGCATCCGATCTGATCCTGTATGCCAAAAACAGACGGATGGGGATCGTTCCCCATTCTTCCAGCAGATTGGATTGGATGACAATCAGGTGGGAACGGATAGGTGGTCCGTTTTCATCTGACCGTCCCATTAAATTCAGAGGGGTAGTGTCTGTGTCTGGCCTGCAGCAGCTCAGCGGAGAGATTCTCCGCTGAGCAGGCAGATCACGCTGATATATCCGTCCCAGATGAAAGGGGCCTAAAGGTATTTGCAGGCACTGCTTGGTGACTAGCGTTTTGTTCTGCCGCATGTTCCATACCTTTACAGACAGGTCTGCTGCTGATATTTCAGGTATTGGTCAATGCAGGTGGGTTCAGCCTCTAGGAGTCATACCAACCCCTGTTCACCCAGTACAGCCACTTGTGCTGCCACCCTGTCCCCACCCAAACCATTCTACACTGAAATATTCATGCAATGGTAGTAGAACTGACCTTGTAGGTTTATAGGGTGCCTTTGAAATCTGCTGTGTTTTAACCACTTCATATCCAGGGCAATTTTTACATTTTTCACACATTTTGTTAAAATCTGCAATTGTTTTTTGTTTTTTTTTTGCTAGAAAATTACATGGAATCCCTAAACATTATATATTTTCTGAAAGCAGCAGTCCTGTAGAATAAATTGGTGGCAACTGGAATTTTTTTTATGTCACAATATTTATGAAGCTGTTTATCAAATGCATACACTGTGTGATCAATTATTAGGCAAGTTGTATTTTTGAGGATTAATTTCATTATTGAACTACAGTGCCACCATTCTTTTCAATAACAGTCATAAGCCTTCCATTCATGGAGTCTGTCAGTTTCTTGATCTGTTGACGATCAACTTTTTGTGCAGTAGCAATCACAGCTTCCCAGACATTAAGAGAGGTGTACTCTTTTCCTTCACCGTAAATCTCCCGTTTTAAAAAGGGCCCATAAGTTCTCCATAGGGGTTAGGTCAGGTGAGGAAGTGGGCCATGTCATTATTCTTTCATCTGTAAGGCCTTTACTAGCTAACTACACAGTGGAGTACTTCGATGCATGCAATGGAGGATTGTCCTGCATAAATATCATGGTCTCCTTGAAAGGTGCAGACTTATTCCTGTACCACTGCTCGAAGAAAGTGTCTTCTAAAAACTGACAGTAGGTTTTGGAGTTGATTTTGAGTCCATCTTCAACTCAAAAAGGTCCAACTAACTCATCTTTAATAATACCAGCCCTTACGAGTACCCCACCTCACTGAAGTCTTAGTCAAAGTGGTGCTCTGTGCCCATTACTGATTCAGCCACGGGCCCACCCATCTGGTCCGTCAGGAGGCAATCTCATCTCATCAGTCCATAAAACCTTCTTTAGATATTTCTTGGCCCAGACTTGACATTTCAACATGTCTTGTTCAATGGTGGTGGGGTTTCAGCTTACCTTACCTTGGCCATTTCTCTGAGCACGAAACTCCTTGTACCTCTGGGCACTCCAGGTAGGTTGCAGTTCTAAAATATGAAAGCTGTGGAGGATAATGGGTACCTAGTAGCTTCATGTTTGATTCTTCTCAAATATTTGGCAGTTAATTTTCTTTCTTTCTTTTTTTTTTGTCTCTCAACTCGTTTCTTGCAACCCTGTTGACTATTTGCAACAAAGCATTTGATGGGTCACGCCCCAACATCTTAGCAATTTTTCAAGAGTCCTGCATCCCTTTTGAAAGACTTTTTTTTTTTTTTTTTACTTTTCAGAGTCAGTTAAATCTCTATTTTGGCCCATTTTACCTGGAGAAAAGAAGCTGCCTAATAATTATGCATACCTTGAAATAGGGTGTTGATCTCTGTGGCTACACCCTCCTTCATTACACAAATGCACATAACCTGATATGCTTAAATCCAATAAGCATTCAAGTGTATACAGCTTGGAGTTAGACAATATGCATAAAAATTATGATTTGGTCAAAATGCTTGCTTGCCTAATAAATGTGCACACAATGTATTTTCAGAAAAAGTACAGTAAGTGGATTTTAGCACACAAACACATAATACCCAATTTCTTGATAAAATATAAAAAAGGTAGTTGATTTGAGTAAACTGATACCAAACATATCAAGATCAAAATTGTCTGTGAAATATCAAAAGACTACGTTACTTAAAATTTTTCTAAGATAATGCTGTAAAAACCTTTACATTTTAGCGTTCACAATGAATTATGGCCCTTGAATTGTTGCTCTCGCTCAGATGTTTGCAGTCACATATGTGGTGCAATTGCTGTTTACATACGTGGTGCAATTGCTGTTTACATACATGTATGCAAGCCCTACACGTGCTTTGGCATTTGCGTGTTTGCAAATGGGAGGACGGGGTGCTTTAAAAAATGTTTTATTATATATATTTTCTTAAGTTTATTCGTAGTTAGAGGGGCTTACAGTCCCCCTACGTAATTGGTAAGGACAGGTGACAGGTTCTTATTATGGACACTTTAGGGGTCTGTTAGACCCCCAGTGTGTCTACTTAAGTTAATCAAGCACTTTTGTGCTTGATTAGCTACTTCACCAGCTTCAGTAGCTGGAGAATTACCACTCTGAAACCGGAAGTGATGAAATGCTTTTCAGTTCTGGCTTCATTAATTGCAGACGAGATCAAGGAACTGATCCCCTCATTCCTCACACTTCTCGTGGTACTTTTACTGAAAAGCCGATCACTGGCTGAAGAAAATTATACCAAGCTCATGGCTGCAGCCATAAACTTATTTTAACCACTTGCTGTCTTTAGATCATTTTAAAAATGTCCTGGACTTCAAGTGGTTAAGTTGCACCAGTTTGTGGATTTGTCTGTTGTAATAGTGATGTATTAATTAGAAGAACTAGTATGGTTTTGATGTGATGTTCCCCATAATGTCTTTCCCAGAAGTGAAATACTTTTTTTTTTTCTCTCTTTTGCTTCAGGTCAGAGAAAGAACCACAGTTTAAATTTATTTATTTTAACCACATGAACCTAGCAGAGAAAAGTACAATACACCTCAAGAAAACCCCCAGCGTCTCACTGACTTCTGTACAGCCAGAGCTAATGAAGATACTTGGGGACATTAATAGTGATTTTACAAGGTTTGCAACTTCATGGTTTCTACCTATATTCTGTTTAGGGTGATTTTGTTTTGTTTTGTTTTGTTTTTTAATTTTAATCAATCTGGGCTTCATCTTAACCACTTCAAGTCCGGACACTTTTACCCCCTTCCTGTCCAGGCAATTTTCAGCTTTCAGTGCTATCACACTTTGAATGACAATTGTGTAGTCATGCAACACTGTACCCATGTGAATTTTTCAGCATTTTTTTGAGACAGATAAAACTTTATTTTGGTGGTATTTATTCACCACTGGGATTTTTATTTTTTTGCTATGTAAATGTAAAAGTCCAAACATTTTGAAAAGTGTTTTTCTTATAAAATTTTGCAAATAAATAATCTTTCTTCATAAATCTTGGCCAAAATGTATTCAGCTATCTTTTTAGTAAACAAAAAAATTACCCAATATTAGTTTATAACCAAGAATTACAACTTCTTTTTTTTTTTTTTTTAAATTCACAATTTTTATTTTACTTTTTGATAGTATTTGTATTTTAATATTATATATTCTTTTTTTTGCCGTCGACATAAAGGCTGTAAAAGCAATAATTTCTCATTCTCTCTGGCTGCATTCTTGCAGCCATTGAGAAATACTGTGGGAGTGTAATTGGTCACAGCTTGTCACATGGTACAAGGCTGTTGTGAATAGCCTTGTACCATGTGACCCTCTGATCATTCACAGATTTCACACGTAGTAAGCAATGATATCAGGAAGTGACATCTTGTTTACTACTATTCATGTGATCACTGACTGGCCAATCGGTGATTACATGAATCGGGACCTCCAGACACAGCGGGCATCGGATCACGGTGCCGCATGCACAGGCAGTGAATGTGGGGGCCGTTTTTATAAATGGCGATCCGCTTCGGCACTGTTCCCGTCTGGTCTTTTATGTATATGGTCCAGACAGGAAGTGGTTAATGGAAAGTTGTAAGAAAAAAGGAGGCTACCATAGCAGTTGATTGTAAATGAACCCTATGCACACTGCTATACATCTCACATATTTCTAGCAAACTTTTGCATAAAAACTGGGATCCTTGGTTCACATATTACAGCAAGTGTTCAAGATGTGTCAAAGTGATCCCTCTCTAGCTAGTCCCTACTGTACTAGACCAGGGCAGGATAGTACTCACCACTGAGAAGTACATAACCTCCATAATTGCACATTTGTTCCACTATGTTCAACAGACAACTAATGTATGCTTTGGACCTGCTGTTCCTCTATATAATCTGATTGCTGCAGTGTGAGGATTACAGGATGCTAATATCAATATAAAAGATTTGAGTGCTAGTTTTATTTAACAATACAATAGTTAACTATTTTCTTAAACACACAAGTAGATTAAGTTGTGTTTTCACATGTGCATCGAACTGAGCTTTACCTGGGGAAGGAAAAATCTTTTGTCTGAAGTAAAGCTCTTCTATAAGACTCAGGCAAAAAAAAAAAAATTGATGGGGGTCCTAACCATTCCCCACTTAAGCCAAAACAAATTTTCTTGGCTTTACATACCCCCAAAAGAAAATCAGAGAAAATGTTAAAATATTACATTGTAATGTTAAATTATGCTACACAGCAGGGAGAATATAAAATTAATTTTGGAGACAATTGTGACTACTAGTTCTATAAAATACTGCATTGGTCATGTATTGCAAACGCATTGAGGGACTTTAATTTAAAGAAGAACTCGGGGATAGGCAAAAAACACCCATTACTACACCCCCCCTAAATCACTAAACCGTAAATAAAATCTTGAATATCCCTACTTTTGAGGAGAAAAGTTTATTGAATTTCCATGACCTCATTTCTGTAAGTCAAGACAGCTTTTGCTCTGCCAATGAGGAGTTGTAACAGCAGGGATTATCCTCTTCTCTCTCTCTCTCTCTCTCTCTCTCTCTCTCTCTCTCTCTCTCTCTCTCTCTCTCTCTCTCTCTCTCTCTCTCTCTCTCTCTCTCTCTCTCTCTCTCTCTCTCTCTCTCTCTCCTCTCTCTCTCTCTCTCTCTCTCTCTCTCTCTCTCTCTCTCTCTCGTAAAAAGAAACTACAGTTCCCATCAATCACAGGGAACTGTAGTGAATGTGGGTGCGTACACTAGGCCTGTGCATGCTGAATGTGTCTGAGAGTCTGTCTGCCCACCACAGCAAGTGGGGCTGAGTTACTTCACTACTCCCTGGAGAAAGAACTACAGAAGGGTTGTGCCTAGACCAGTGGCTGGGAGAGTCATAGCAGCCACTGGTCTTACAAACATGAAACCAAAGAGAATTAACAGTTTGATTTGAAAATGAATAGGCTAATTTAGAGCAACTACTGAGTGAACCAGACGATGGATGACATATTCAGTGAAAGTAGAAAATTAGCAACAAAGACCTGTAAAGCAGTTTTTGCCCAGAGGTCTGCTTTAAGACTGGAGAAGCCAGAATCCAGAGCAGCTGTGCATGTCAACCAATCCGCTTCTATCTTTTTTATGTTCAAAGCTTAATTGAGCAAACTGAAGATAAAAGCTGATTGGTTACTCTGCACAGCTGCTCTGCATTCTGTCTGCTCCAGTTTTAGTACATTTTCCTCATCATTTTTATTAGTTGCTTGTGCTTTTTGCTTTGTTCTGACCAATTTCTGCTTTTACAGAGCGGATGAAGATGAAGAGATCATAGTAAAAGCAATGAGTGATTATTGGATAGTAGGGAAGAAGTCTGACCAGCGAGAACTGTATGTCATCTTGAACCAAAAGAATTCCAACCTAATTGAAGTAAATGGTGAGCACTGAATTAATTTTAAGGCATATATCATTCCTTTTTATTCATTGTCCAGAGCTGTTCATATTGCTTGAAAGGTACAGTAGAAGAATTTCTTCAAGCTCTGTTAGTATCCTGAAATGGAATTAAACCTTCCTATCCTTTACAGCCAAAGAAACTGCCGTCTTGACCTCTGTTTGATCTGCAGTGTGCTGCACGTGATTAGATATGACACCAGCCTTTGATGAGTTAAACTTTTGGTTGAGAGCTAGCAAAAGCACACTAGTAACTGTAACGGTTATCATTCAAGGTATGGCATGAATGTAACTGTTTTGTGAAACCATTAAAATATGTGGGTTTAGTTCCAATTTAAATTGGAACTCAATTTAACTAATAAAAAATTGCAAACAGGCAGCACTTTATAGCAGAAGAGATGTACTAGGCTCTTCCCTAATAATAAACACCTGTCTGCACACAGTCTTCTATTGAATACAAACTGAGCTTCACATGAACGGTTCAGTGTGCGTTCCTGGTACCCTCTGGCTGTGTCGGACTGACAAGCTCCTTTAACTATGCGCGGGATGACGTCAGTCCACCAGTCAAGAGGCAGAAATAACCAGGGAGGAGATGACAGTGGCTGGCAAGGGATTTAACCATCACCTTGCTAGAATGAGAAGGTGAGTATTACTTTCAGATTAGTTCTGCTTTAACTTATAAGACAGCAACTGTTGAATTTCCAGAAATCTTCAATGCTTTCTGTGCAAAAAACAATGCCTGCTGATTGAGTTCTGTATGGCTCCAACAGCCGTGCACATGTGGAAATTCACTCTTCCAAATTTTGTCACGAGTGTCAGAATCAGATGCAAAATATCTTTGACACATAAAGAAGATAGGAGAGAAAGCATTTATTGGCAGTTATAAGGATGCAATAAGTTTTAAGGGCACAGACACAGTATAGCTTTCACATTGGTATCTTGTAGAGAACTTTAAGGGTCGTTGTGCTGCAATATGCAAATAGCAGTCAGCTTCCATGGTCACTGGCTCTGACTTGTTCTCATCTTTCCTTCAATATTGGCCCTTCACTTTGTTGTGTGGCTATTCTAACCAATTGCGGGTCAAGGAAGTAACAGGCCACAGCTCAGGATCCTGAAAGCTGAATCCTATGTGTACGTCAGAGCATACTGGTTTAGTGGAATGTACAGAAAATTGTCCAGAATATCTGGACACCTGAAGGTCCTTTTTGTTTATGAGAAAAGCAGTTGTTTTAAAACCTTTTTATCCAACTCGCAGATACATTTTAAGCTAAATGCTTTCACAGAACTGTTCTGATCTGACACAACACACAGATGGATAGATATATATACAGGTGAAACTCGAAAAACTAGAATATCGTGCAAAAGTTAATTTATTTCAGTAATGCAACTTAAAAGGTGAAACTAATATATGAGATAGACTCATTACATGCAAAGCAAGATAGTTCAAGCCATGATTTGTCATAATTGTCATGATTATGGCTTACTGCTCATGAAAACCCCAAATCCACAATCTCAGAAAATTAGAATATTGTGAAAAGGTGCAATATTCTAGGCTCAAAGTGTCCCACTCTAATCAGCTAATTAAGCCATAACACCTGCAAAGGGTTCCTGAGCTTTTAAATGGCCTCTCAGTCTGGTTCAGTAGGAATCACAATCATGGGAAAGACTGCTGACCTGACAGTTGTGCAGAAAACCATCATTGACACCCTCCATAAGGAGGAAAGCCTCAACAGGTAATTGCAAAAGAAGTTGGATGTTCCCAAAGTGCTGTATCAAAGCACATTAATAGAAAGTTATGTGGAAGGGAAAAGTGTGGAAGAAAAAGGTGCACAAGCAGCAGGGATGACCGCAGCCTGGAGAGGATTGTCAGGAAAAGGCCATTCAAAAGTGTTGGGGACTTTCACAAGGAGTGGACTGAGGCTGGAGTCAGTGCATCAAGAGCCACCACACACAGATGGATCCTGGACATGGGCTTCAAATGTCGTATTCCTCTTGTCAAGCCGCTCCTGAACAACAAACAACGTCAGAAGCGTCTTACCTGGGCTAAAGAAAAACAGACCTGGTTTGTTGCTCAGTGATCCAAAGTCCTCTTTTCTGATGAGAGCAACTTTTGCATCTCATTTGGAAACCAAGGACCCAGAGTATGGAGGAAGAATGGAGAGGCACAAACTGCAAGATGCTTGAAGTCCAGTGTGAAGTTTCCACAGTCTGTGTTGATTTGGGGAGGCATGTCATCTGCTGGTGCTGGTCCACTGTGCTTCATTAAGTCCAGGGTCAACGCAGCCGTCTACCAGGAGATTTTGGAGCACTTCATGCTTCCTTCCGCAGATGAGCTTTATGGGGATGCTGACTTCATTTTCCAGCAGGACTTGACACCTGCCCACACTGCCAAAAGCACCAAAACCTGGTTCAATGACCGTGGGATTACTGTGCTTGATTGGCCAGCAAACTCGCCTGACCTGAACCCCATAGAGAATCTATGGGGCATTGCCAAGAGACAGATGAGACACATGAGACGGAACAATGTAGAAGAGCTGAAGGCCGCTATTGAAGCATCCTGGTCTTCCATAACACCTCAGCAGTGCCACAGGCTGATAGCTTCCATGCCACACCTCATTGAGGCAATAATTGCTGCAAAAGGGCCCAAACCAAGTACTGAGTACATTTGCATGCTTATACTTTTCAGAGGTCCGATATTGTTCTATGTACAACCCTTGTTTTATTGATTGCATGTAATATTCTAATTTTCTGAGATTGTGGATTTGGGGTTTTCATGAGCTGTAAACTATAATCATCACAGTTATGACATATCACGGCTTGAACTATCTTGCTTTGAATTTAATGAGTCTATCTCATATATTAGTTTCACCTTTTAAGTTGCATTACTGAAATATTTGCTGAAGTTCAAACCAAGCATCAGAATGGGGAAGAAAGGGGATTTAAGCGACTGAACGTGGCATAATTGTTGGTGCCAGACAAGCTGGTATGAGTATTCAAAAATTGTTAATCTACTGGGATTTTCACACACAATCATCTCTAGGATTTACAGAGACTGGTCCAAAAAAGAGAAAATATCTCTAGTGAGTGGCAGTTGTGTGGACAAAAATGCCATGTTGATGTCAGGGGTAAGAGGAGAATGGGCAGACTGGTTCGAAATGATTTAAAGGCAACAGTAATTCAAATAACCACTTGTTACACCCAAGGTATGCAGAATACCATCTCTGACACATGTCGAACCTTGACGTGGATGGGCTACAGCAACAGAAGACCACACCGGGTGCCACTCCTGTCAGCTAAGAACAGGAAACGAGGGCGACAATTCACACAGGCTCAACACAATTGGAGCGTTGAAGATTAAAAATACATTGCCTGGTCTTATGAGTCTCGATTCGGATGGTAGAGTCAGAATTTGATGTAAACAAAATGAAAGCCTGAATCCATCCGGCCTCGTACTAACGATTTATGGATGTGCAGCAGACAAATCTGCAGCTTGATGCTATCATGTCAATATGAACCAAAATCTCTGAGGAATGTTTCCAACACCTTGTTGAATCTATGCCACAATTAAAATTAAGGTAGTTCTGAAGGCAAAAGGGGTCAACCTGATATTAGCAAGGTGTACCTAATAAAGTGGCTGGTGAGTGTGTGCATGTGTGTATATATATATATGTGTGAGAGAGAGAGAGAGAGTGTGAGAGAGAGAGTGTATGTGTGTTCTTGCTAACTGAGCTTACAGAATGCATATGTGTGTGTGTATATGTATGTGTGTCCCAATGTTATTAAATCCTGTGTGTTTGTGTTTTCTCATGTATATGTGTTTGTATATGGGGAAATATATTTTAATCTTTGAATGGGGTGGGAAGGGGGTATAGAAAATGGTGTTCTTGCTCTAGAGCTTACAGAATGCATTGTACATGTGTGTCCCTCATCTTTGAAGGAATTTGCTCTAGAGCTCTGACTTCCAAATTATTCATCCACTCATAGTTCTGTGTATGTCTGGTATGAGAAACACTGCTGGTACGACTGCAATTGAAGTGCCACCCTTGCTAATATCTCCATGCTATGCCTTTCTTAGTCAGGTCTTGTTACCGGAATGGTTTTGTGTTTCTGTTCCATGCTAAACTTTGGACGCATTCCGAGACGTCATCAATATTCATCCCATCGTTTTTCAACAGATGGTCTTAATAATTAAAATCTAGGCTCTCTCTCACACCTTGACATTGAAGGCATTTCTGCAGGCAGGTCTAATTTAGCAGGTCTCATTTCAGTGTGATAATCCCCCTCTCCCTCCCCAGGGTGTAAATGTCATGATTAAACCTAAAGTGTCATTTTAGTCAATGTGGGTGCCAGTGTTGTCCTCAAAGTGTTTTGACAACCATAATTGTCACTTATTTAAATGATTGATGTCTAAGCAATGATTGACATGCAGGAAATAGGTGCTTGCACTTGTGTATATACGTTGGGGGTCAGGCTGTAATTACATCTGCTTAAAGATGTATGGATATTTATAACAGCTGCTTCAGTTTTCAGCCTATTGGATGAACAGAGTTATTACAAGCAATTAACCACTTGCCCTATTGCGGATTTACCTCCCTTCCTGACCAGGCCATGTTTTGTGATACAGCGCTGCGTTACTTTAATGGACAATTGCGCGGACATGCAACGCTGCACCCAAATTAAATTTGTCCTTTTTTTCCCACAAATGGAGCTTTATTTCAGTTGTATTTGATCTCCTGTGCAGTTTTTTAATTTGTTTGCGCTATAAATAAAAAAGACCAACCATTTTGAGAAAAAAAGCAATATTTTGGACTTTTTGCTATTCAACAGATCCAGTAAAAAAAAATTAAAAAATCACATTTTGTTATAAATTTAGGCCAAAATCTATTCTGCTACGTCTTTGCTAAAAAAAAATCCCAATACATGTAAATTAATTGGTTTTATGTGAAAGTTATAGCGTTTACTAATGGCGGTAGATATACTGGGATTTTTTGTTGTACAATTAATGGTGGCGATCAGTGACTTATAGCAGGACTGTGGCGGGCATTCTGACACTGGGGGGAACTGACTCGGTGTCGCTTACATCTACAGTGACACTAATACAGTGATCAGTGCTATGCATTCACATTTGCAAGGATTTCTCTTGTAGTTCCTTTTAGGAGACATTTTCTCTATCAGCAGGTCTTTAGGTAAGCTGGGTTGCAGCAAGATAAAAGCCCACTACCCATAATTCAAAAGTAGCTCTGCCACTTGAATCTATAGAGGCTATGCAATCGGTCAAGGTGATGTAATGGAGGAGGCATGGACAGACACAACACTCTTAGTATCAAGGACTGGACTGCATGTTGGTTGCTGTTTTGATGAAAGGAGGAAGGTAATGGTAAGGATGAAGGTAAAGTGATGCTCTGCTTCACTGCATTCCTCTATCAGAGCCTTGGGACTTATCCCAGCATGCACTTCTGTCTCTGTTGGAACTTTCATTGGGTAAAGCTGGATAATACACTATTAGATTTTCTTTAAAAAATGTGTACGCAAATTATTAGTACTATTGACAGTTTGACAAATGTTGTTCATTTGATTTTGAAACAAATGGACTTTACAGCATGCTGCTCCTACTCCTTTGTTTTTTATTGCAGTAACAAGAAAATACGAACATTGATTTGACTCCACAAATGATTAGAAAGTCAAACCAATGTTCCTAAAATGAACAATTTTGAACACAATTCTAATAGTGTTTATCCAGCTTTAAAGTGGTAAAACTTTAGTCAGAAAATAAAGCCCTGATAGATCACTTCAGGCTGGCTAATTTTGCAAGCATAGCTATTTAAAATATTTAAAAGTGTCTATATTGACTAAAACCTAGTAATACACTGTCTCGCCCATTTTTGCACATGCTCAGCTGCAGTCTAATCTCAGCCCTGTGCGTAAAAGCAGAGCCACTAGAGGCCAATCAGCTGACCGCTTTAAGATTTACTGTTGCTGAATGGGAAAGAAAGCAACAAGAATCGTACAGACTGAACGGAGGGAACACAGATTAGGGAGAGGGGAGAGGAAAGCAGGAGAGGTGACAGGACAAACTCTGCTGCCATGGAAAAACAAAAGAATTACATTTCCAAGGATAGTGTCTTATCGTTTTCCTGTTATTCTCCTAGACAGATCCTTGAACTTCAGCACTGTAGACTTTTGTCAGCCTTCCTCTCTACCTAAGGGAGGTCATACATTAAGCAGTTTCCTTTCCTGCAGCAATAGGTTGAAGGAAAGAGAATCGCTTGATTCCCCCATCAACACTCCCACTGAGCTATTATATTCTGACAGGAGGCTTCCCTGCCATCAAATTACAATGATTACTGCTGCCAGCTATAGCTGGTGACAGTAATCCTATGGAAAAAAAAAACAGGCTGGTTGTATTGAAGTCGATCAGTAAATCAACTTCAGCACAACCGAGCCTACTCATAGATGGATCGAAATCAACCTGCTGAACCAGCTGTATTTCAATCCATCTATGGCTGCTTAAGACATACAATCAAGGATGGAAATGTACATATTTTAATTGAAGAAAGTGACATAATTTTAGAGACCAAGGAGGGGGGGAATGAGAAAGGGACTTCAACAAAATGGCAGCCTCCAGCAAGAACAGGAGCAATGTCGGGGGGGCAATTTACAGCACACACTAATTTTGGTAGCATAATTATTAATGTGGAATAAATGTTCTTTTGCTAAAGAACACTAATTGTTATCAAACTGTTATGGGTAAAGTTTCACTTTAATGACTTTCTCCCTTCCCCCATGGGCAGTGTTCAAGCCGGGTTATTGGCTGCTCATGCTTGAGCACTGGGTGTAAGGGAAGGTTTTTTGCTTTCCCTGTAGGTGAAAGTGCCAAGTATTTCCAAAGGGTTCCAGCAAATGAACAGTGAGGTAGAGGGAGGATGATGAAGGTAAGTATTGGTGGGAGAGGGGGTGAGATGGGCTAGCAAGAGAACCTGTTACGTTAATGCATGGTAAAACATTTTCAGGAAAAAAGTAACACATGGTCGACTTTGCGGTGTCTTTCATTTTAAATGGCACCCCAAGTGCAGGCGAGTATCCTTTGTGTGTTGTGGAATTGTACATTTAAATAAATTGATACATTTCTGTTTTGTGGTGCCATGGAGTATCCAAGGACTTAAAATAAACCTGACTTAGGCCACCACGCTCCATCAATAATATCACTTTTAGGTGGACTGAGCCAGAGTTATGCAGCAATGTTAAGAAATTGATTACGATATAAAATTATGCTTTTTATAATAAAATAATCCTTTCTTTTTTTTTACAGATGAAATTAAGAAACTATGTGCCACACAATTCAACAACATCTTCTTCTTGGATTAACCAGCCTGGAATGTCTCTTGAGGCAACCCGTGACAGCCATTTTGTTCAGAATATCAGTCATATTATTGACTGGAATGACTGTTGTAAGGCAATAGTTGCCTTGTAAGAATCTACTTTCTACCTGGAGGCTCAATAATCAGACCGTTTTTAGATTTTAAATATTTATCTGATCGCTCTTTGAACAAGCGCATTACATTTCTGTTACAGCAGTATGACCACAAACAATAAATCCACTAATCATTGTTATACTTTTAACGGCCTAATAAGCTGTGCGTTACACTGATACTTCTCCAAGAAATCTTTCTTGCTTTATAACTGACAGAATAAGAAATGTACTTACATTTCATTGAGAGAAAAAAAAAAAAAATAATGTATTCATTTGACTTTTGTTTTTACTTCCAAGGTTCATCACAACCCATCGATCAGATGTTTCCTACAATGATGAGATCATCCCAGTTCTTGTATACCAAAATGGGGGGCATTGGGTTTCTTGAGATTGGATGTGGGTTTGGGAAAGTAGTTGTGGCAGATGAGCCCGGATTAGGATGGGTTGGGAGGAATTAAAGGATATCCCTACATATAAAAATATACTAGTGGCCTATCTTGGCTCTTGTATAAACTTTTAAAGGAGAATGCCTTAATATATAAATTGACAGTAAACTGATAATACAGTACATTGGTTTATGGCTACCTGACCATCACACCTATTATATGATTTCAAGAAGTAGTCTAGGCATGGATATTTTCTACATAGTTACATTGGTCCAGCTTATAAACCATGCTTGGCGGATGCCCCTAGAACCTGGAAATCACTGAAGTAGATGCTGCTACTCCAGTGATCTCAACCTTTTTCTTTGGTCTCACACTTAGCAGCTGCCCTGCTGCATTCTGAACACAGGAGCTAAGCTGCTTGGCATGGGCACCTTTCAGGGAATAATTGCATTTTCTGATTGACTGCAAAGCGTTCTCTGATTGGATGAGAGAGATTGTGACATCACCCTCCCACCTCTCCTTGTCCAATGATGGAACGCTTTGACTCTGCATTCATTCACAAAAATGCAAAGCATTCTCTGAATGGTGAAACACCTGACCTGTGTACAAAATGCAGCAGGGCACGTTTGGCATGGAATCTGGGAAGCTAGTGGAGATAAATGGAGTAGCAGAGTACTACTTTAATAATTTCCAGGTGCATCAGCCAAGTATGCTATATGATTACCTGGAATTCCTAATTTTTTTAATTAATGAGTCCAGGTTTATCCAATGAAAAGTGCTGTTAAAGCAGAACTTCACTCTCTCAATCAACATTGAAAGTTACTTGTGCCTCTAGCATTAGTAAATAGATAGGAATGTACTGTATATCATTTTTACCTGTTTTTTTATTTTTTTTTTTTTTTACAATTCTTCAGTTACTTCCAGTTTTCTGACCTAGGTTCCTGGGATGATGTTCTACATCCCAGGAGCCTCCAAGAGGGGCTATCTCAGCTAAACTTACAGTTTGGTGAAAGGTGCTTTTTGTTCCGGGATGACTTTTGCTCCTCTGCACAAAGCCAAGTCCATTAAATACAAGGTTTGATGAGTTACATGTGGAGGAACTCAAGTGGCCTGTCAGAGCCCTGTATCTGCTGAGCAACTTTGAGATGACTTGGAACACCCAGCCATGTCTTCTCATCCAAGACCAGTGCCAGACCTCCAAAATGCTCTTTTGCCACAAACTCTCAAAGACTTTCCAAAATAATGTGGAAAGCCATCCAAGAAGAGTGGGGGCTATTTATAAGTACAAAGGTGGGGATGGGAGGCAACTCCATTTTAAAGCCTATGGTTTGGGCTGGGATGTTCTGCAAGCTCATGTAGGTGTAATGGTCAGGTGTCCACAGACTTTTGGTCCTGTAAATTAAATTGAATTGAAATCGCATCTAATGAATGTGAATGTCAGTGGCTTAATATCTGCGATTTGCTGCAGCGCAACTTCTGAAGTAGTTTTTGCATTACTTTTTCTGCAGTTTTTTTGTGATTTCACATACATAGAATATAGTGGAAATTGTACTGCAAATTGCAAGAAATTGTTGAAAATCTTCACAAGTCATAATAGTCTTCAGAAATTGCACACAAATTGAATGATTTTTAAATCACAGTGGTGTGACCGGTGCAATAATTTAATCGGACCTCATTTCTGGTTATAATCCTATCATTTTATTTATTTTTTTTAATGTGAAGCAGTTCATAAACAAAGACACAAATTAACAGACTCTACTTTGCTAATTTTTATTATAGCAGTTTGTATTTTGCCTGTTGTTTTCCTGTGGTTATTTAAAATATTTTAAGATATTGATAAAATTAGTCACCTCAACATGGCTGCACACTGGTCCCCATACTTAGCAGATTGGCTTGAGACCCCTAAAAACAATCTGGTATGGTAATAGCAGTCACCTTCCTAGTCACTGGCTAGGATCAGCCTCTTTTCCAAGCTAACTCACATTCCTATTGTCTCATAACTGTGGTGGGGGCTCATTAACCAATAGTATCCAACCACTGTGTCTGCAACTCCCATTTGAGAAAACACTAAGGAGTCTATGTATAAAACATTTGCTTTGGGGTACCATGAATGTTTGCGGTATTTGTAATATAATTTTTTTTCCTTTGATTGTCAGCTCCATCTAGTGACCTTGATGCAATATTTTTGCTGAAATCGCTCAATCAAAAAAAAAACAAAAAAAACAAAACAAACATTATGGCCACTAGATGGAGCTGCGATACTTATATTACAAACCATATGGTGAGCATGCTTAGTACCCATGCAAATGGTTAAGACAGCCACATAGCAAATGCTTTATACATAAATAAGTGTCAATCTGTTATATCTAGCAAAGTTGAAACTCCATAAACAAAAAAGAAAATAAAATGAAAAAAGAAATTAACGAAGTTAAACATTTTTTAGACCCTGCTTTACAGTGACTAATGTTTCCAGAAAAGTTTAAAAAGATGTGTGATTTAAAGCCTAAGTTTTTAAGATATAGATAGATATAGATATACATTTTTAATTTATTTATTTTAATTGGCCCAAGAACCTGCACCAGTTTCCCATGTGCTGGTGGTTGCTGTCTTTATTGAAATCTTCAGTCCTCTGAAGATGAAATTATTACAGAAAAGTATTCAGTTGCAGAAAGCTTTGTGGTGTGTGCACTCAGTTAAATCAATTTTTGTATATATAAGTTTAATTTTGTGTCTTGCCTGCATTACTCTTGTGTTCACTTGAAGACCACGCAGGGCAAGAAGGAGGGTCATTTAACCCCTAGCCACCGTCAGACCATACCTGCCTTTTCATTTGCTACACCACTGCTCTGTTTAGCCACCAGGAGTGCAGTAATACACCTAGAGCTTAAGGGTATGGGTGAGGATGTGACATCACTGCTGTCTGATTGGCTCAGAGCTGCCACAAGTGGACAGAGGAGTTGTTCATAGCCCTGTGTAAGCTTCGGTAAGTCCATGTAAAGTTTAAAGTGGACTGTCTTTCGCCATCCCTATGGCTGAATAAATAATGGGGAGTCTACTCTGCTAGGGGAGGTGGGCTAGTTAAAGGACTGTGCGGGGCTCTGTCCACATGACTGCAGCATAATTTCTTCACAGAGACCTGTGAATGAATGAACTACAAGTACCGTCAGCCTTTGTTGGCTGATGGCTTGTAGTTCTCAATTAACTACTAGGGCGCCAGTGAGTGTTCTAGGTAGTAAATTGAGTCTTCCTGTAATTGTGTAACTGCTTGCCTGTACAAAGTACAAGCAGACAGACACACTGACAGTCTGCAGTGGATTGAGACTTCACCCGCGATCTGCCAATGCAATACTTTACAGGCTCCTAAGAAAGAAAAATAATAAATGCACATTTGTAACCTGCAAAGAGTGCATTTTTTTTTTTTTTTTTTTTTTTTTGTGTGTGTGTGAGACTGTAATGTAAAGCAAATATTTGAGCTTGTGGCTATTAACTCTGCATGTCAAAAACAGACAATCTGATGCACACTTTCTTAATGTCTTATTCATGACTGTATTTCATAGCCAATGTGTTGTAAATACCCTTGTGCAGCATTGTACACATGCTGTCTGAATTTCTCTGAACAGGGTGCCAGGTAAAAATGCAGGGAGATAAAATGCTGCTGTCTTGTCTGGCCAGGGGCCGGGGAGGCAAAGAGTCTGCGGATCAGTGCCCCCTGAGTGGTCACCTCAGCGGTGCTATTAGTAACACATGGGGGTGGGATCCCAAGTGTGAAAAGTGCACATGGTCACTGTTCTAAACACTTCTTCTTCACTGCGCCTTTTAGGGCTAGGCCTTTTGGTAAACTCCAGGGCAATTTTTTTGCTACAGGCCTCAGGGCCTAGCCAGTGCACAATTGAACGGCCACTTATTTATTTACTTTTCTCCCACGTTTTGTCACCTTTCACTTTTTTGTTTTTTGTTTTTTTTTCCTCACCAAGATGGTAGGGTGTGGGTCCTCACACCTGCCCTGAAGTCTAGGGAGAGGATGCATGGCCATTCGGTTCCTTCCTCCCGTGTCCCTGGGGTGTCTCTTCCGGAGAGCCCCCTGACCTAGTACTTGGTGGTTGGCTTCGGTTTGCCACAAGGAAAGGGGTCCGCTAGGCCTTTTGGCTAGGTGGACCATGTGGAAACATCAGTCCCTGGCAGGAGCCTCGCGCCCCAGGGGATCAGGGTAGAGGTCCTACTTTTTTGTGTTTGTGTTTTGCACTTGCATGTTTTTTTCTCATGTGGCATTGCAAGATTGACAGTTACAAGCATGACTCCAAAAGGCAGAGGCATGATAGTACTTGTAGTTTCGCAATAGCTGGAGGGCCGCCAGTTTGACACCCCTGTCCTAGACCTATTACTTCACATCTCTTGGTGCGCAACTTTGTTAAAGGTGTCACACATATTGTTCCACTAGTTAAGACTGTTGACTCCTTGGGACAGAGCAACTTTCTATATTTCAGTAATCTCTGTATGAACCCATGTGG